ATATATATAAACATACACAGTGTATATATTAGATATATGCCCCCGGAAGGTCTGGGACAGGGTCTTTTTGCTAACCAGGCCCGGGTGCTTAAAGCACATCTAAACCCAAAAGCAAAAATCTAATAAATTGCAGCTTACCAATCCCTAGATGTGGTGGCTGAATCAGTTTTATCTTTTTATGCATTTTTCCTTTATTTTCACTGTCCCAGGGGTGGCTCCTTTGCTCCTGGAGTCACCCTAAGCCTGGCCATACACCTATCAATTTTTTTCATTCAACCCGTGGGCTGATTGAAAAAAATTGACCCGATTCCTCCATCAGCACAAACAGCGTGTCAATCAAGGAATCCCGCTGTTTACATTGTATTCTGATTGCACCGGCACCTATAATAATATCCGATCAGAGCGGGCAGCTCATTGGCTGCCGGCTCTGATTGAACGAAAATTTTCCAGCCGTCTCCTTCGATGAGCTGATGGAGGAATGCTGGCTGAAAGGGAGCCGGCAGCCCCACACACTGCATGAAGTTCGACCGGTACATTAAAAACTGGCCGAAATTCGGCCAGTGTATGGCCAGCTTAAAGGAGAACTATGGGGTCAGGGCTTTTCCCCATAGTTCTCCTTAGGGTAATGGGAGGACACAAACTAGCGTGTATACTGAGCTTGCGGTATACTGAGACGCCGGAGCGGATCCCAACATCGATGTCGAGATCCGCTCAGCTGCGTGAGTGACAGCTGGCTCTGCCTATCTAGAGGCAGAGCCAGCTGTACCCGCCCCCTCCCCCGTCCGTTCCGCCAGTCAGCGCTGGAGGATCAGAGCGGGGAGGGGGAATCCATCCCCCTCCCCTGTCACGGCAGAGAGCCGTGACAGGATCGAGAATTGAGCGAACACCGGCATGTGTTCGCTCACCTCCCGATCTACTGAGTTTTAACAAAAAACAAAAACAAAGGACAGGCTTCAGCAGATGTGTTGAATAGGTAGGATATGGAATCCTGTCTGATTGGACTCTGGAGTCTGGCCAAGTGGAGGTGGGCTTCACTCTAGGTCAGGATTTCCACCTTGCAGATGCCACAGGTGGGTGGCCGAAAAGGCCGGATGGGTTCCTATCTGCAAATGAAACAGATATTAAGCAAGCTAGCCAGAGAGTCAAAAGTTCATATTTGTGTGTTTGCTTGCTGGAAAACCTGATTCTATATTTTGATGGCCAAATGTGGTCAGGAAAGCCCATAGCAGACACAGGTGTGACTGTTGTATGCTGGTCTGGCAACACAAATGCTCAGACTATGGAAAAAGCACGAGATATACTTGTTAACCTCTGTTGGAGAGTTCTCTGCTGCTCTGTGCCAATGTTTCTATTATCTAAATTAATTATTTGAAAAGTGCTGGTTGCCTAAATGGAGACCATCTGCCAGCCAGCGTTACTCCCAGGAGACATCTTCTCTCCCTGCCTGTGCTAGATGGATGAGTCATGAATCAGGGAAACAGACATGTGGGTGGTCTACCACCCTGATTTACAAGCTCTGCACTGCGAAGCATGAGATGAGGCTAGGAGCCATTGGTGAAAATCCTTGCTCAATTACAGAATGCTAATTTATCACGGACACGGTTATGGGAATATTAAGATGAATAAATGAATCACAATGCAGCATTATCATTGTTCCTGAGCCAGACATACCCATTATTATTATTACCATACAGCAATATATGTCTCCCCCCTCCCCCCCCCACAGCGGGCCACGGTAAAATTATTAAACCTTGACCGGTCCGCGGCGATAAAAAGGTTGGGGAGCACTGATCTACAGGATTATCAGGTGAAAATAAAGGACAGAGGGACCAAAAAAAAATGCAGGCACCCCACCTAAGGACGGGTAAGATGCAATATATACAATTTTTGTTTTTGGCTTTAGGTACACTTCATGCTTTCCGGTTCACTATGATGCCCGCCCAAGACAAGCCCATCTAGTGTGTCACTTCCTGTCACTTTTCCCATTAGCAGTGGCAATCACTATATCCAGGGCCATTCCCTCAATGAGGCAGCCTGAGGTGATTGCATCAGGCGGCACCTCATTGGGTCATGTGGAGGGCGGCAGGTGTGCCTGTCACCCCCTTTCTGGAGCATTCAAGGTTGCTAAGAGCTGTTGGCAACCTTTGACACTGTGGCCAGTGTCCCGCCTAGGTCACTGATGTCACTGGTTGCCAGGGGCTGAGCAGGACGCTCTGGCTAACATCCCGTCCAGCTCCTGGGAACCAGTGACACCACCAAAGGGGGGGATGACACCAACCACAGCATCACAGGTTGCTAAGAGCTCTTGGCAACCTATGATGCTGTGGCCGGTGTGTCCCGCCCAGGTCACTGATGTCACTGGTTGCCAGGGGCTGGCCGGAACGTTCTGGCTAACATCCTGTCCAACTCCCAGCAACCAGTGACGTCAGTAAGGGGGACGCCTACCAGAGCGTCACAGGTTGCTAAGAGCTCTTGGCAACCTGTGGCGTTGTGTCCTGCCCAGCTCACTGATGTCACTGGTTGCCAGGGGCTGAGTGGTACGCTCTGGCTAACATCCCGTCCAGCTCCTGGCAATCAGTGACATGAGTAAGGGGGACGCCTACCAGAGCGTTACTGGATGCAGGTCGCTGGACTGAGCCAGATCCAGAGGAAGCGTCAACCGCCCCCCACCGGTAACATGCTCCACCACAACACCAACCGTAACGTTCATCACCATCACCACCAATCGCCGGCCTCCCCCAGGACGACCCTGGGCATATCCCTGGGGTAGCGATATCCATTTCTTTAATGGTGGGCATTTGGTTCCACATTCAGATACAGAACAACAGGATTGATTGATCTTACCCTCTTTAAATAATCTCCCATTTCTCTCAGCTGTCAGCTGATGCTCACAAAAATCAGCATCTTGTAACAGAAGCAGGCAGAAGTATCAAACTCCCTTAAAGCCACTGCAATAAGTACAATACACCTTTGTTAATAAATCTGCAATTTTCAAAAAGATCAGTCTATTTATGCTAGTCCGATATTGATGCTTTGTATACACGGTAAAGGAGGGACGTGTCATGTTTTTCCCCACTTACATAAGATTCTTTCCTGTAAAACTGCTGTGCACTTCCTCCACAGATCTATCTCAGGACCTGATGTGTCAGCCGAGGAAGAGGGGCGTTGTAAAGACAACCAGAGAACAAAGAGCATCACCCAGCCGCTGTGATAAGTAACATGCAGACTGAAATAACAAACCAATAAAGCTGCACATCACTGCTAAATTTATCCCCGCTCCCAGGATTTCTGCCGCTGATGTATATTTAATGTACACACAGCTTCTGCGTTGCATATTTAATCCATCCAGGGAATAGCAGGAGAAAAGCCCTCTGTGTTGTAATAAATAGATGCACTTTAAAGGAGAAAGATTTTCACTCATCCTCATACTTCGAGCCGACGTGTGACAATGAAACTGTCACACGTCGGCTCAATAGATCGGCAAGTGAATGGACACACACCGTCCTTCGCTCACTTCTCGATCCTGTCCCTGCAGAGAGCGGTGACTGTCACTCACGGCTCCCCGCAGGGATTCCCCCCTCCAATCCTCCAGCGCTGACTGGCGGAACGGATGGGGAGGGGTTGGGTACAGCTGTAGCTCGCAATATACTGAGCTTAAGGCCTTGTTCACACCAAGCGCGGAGCAGATCCGGACCAGAGCAGGTGCAGACCGGATCAAAACTGCGTCCAATGTATTCCTATGCTATTTTGACCTCCAGTTCACATCGCAGCGTGCGGATCCAGACCAGATCCAGACCGGATGAAAAAAATGCAGCAAGCCCTATTTTACCTGCTCTGGATCTGGTCTGGAACGCATCAAAAACGCATCTAAAACGCATCAAAAATGCATGCAAGTGCCTGAAAGCCCATGTTAAACTTAAAAAAAAAAAATTTCTTAACAAAACCGGCCCTAAACGCATCCAAAACGCATCCAAAACGCGTCTAAAACGCGGCACAACCCACTACACTGCGTGTGCAGAAACCTGACCGGATCTGGTCTGCATTTGGTGTGAACAAGGCCT